GAACACGACTTCTCACAAGTCAACAACACGTGTGTCGATCGCCGCACACCCTGTGTCGATCGACACACCAACCAAAAATCCACTTTTTGGTTCACGGGCGTTACAGTTCTCCCCCACTAACACAGATGCGACCTCGAATCCCACAACACCGTCCTCCTAAGGTTAACACTCCCGTCCGAAACCCGACCAGCTTCGCCCGAAAACACCCAGCATGCAACATTTTCTGGTCCAGACTAGGTCTGCCCGATTGATCGCACAACAATCAAACAAGAACATGTCCGACCATCTGTAGACCCAGAAATGGACCAATTGATCGCACAACAATAAAAGAAGAACATGCACGACCAAGACACTACATATGTTTACCAGGGTCGTTTGAACCGAGGTTCCAAACGCAAGTAAAACCCTAGACTAGACATCCACTTACCATTCTTATCACACTCCTGACCTATTCGGCCAACACCAACTGAGATCACTCCCAATCCCTAAAGCTCCTCTAGTCTCATACTTATAATCACATCACAGACGTTATGCTCATAACCCATATACATATACACCCCTCACACTCTCAGGGTCATCACCCTTTGAGTTATCGATGTATAACATACCCCTCCCACCTTCAGGACGCCGTCCATCAGGCTATCGGTATGCTCCATGCCCCTCCCACTCTCGAAACACACAGTCCATCAAGTTATCGGCATGCAGGAGACCTCACGGTCCCTTGGAGAGATCCCTGTCCCTCGAGATATATGTAGGAGAAATCACTATCCCCTGGAGAGAACCTCACTATCCCCTCGAGTATATGCAGGAAACCTCACTGTCCCCTAGAGCACTAACTCTGCAACGTGCCTCATAAGCACCTGTCGACCAGAATCACTTCTCGTGGTTACCTCATGATATCCCCTAATCCGGAATATCATCACATCCATGACCAATCACTAGGCCATCCGAAACAACCCAATCACTAGGGTGTTTCCTGCCAGAGTCCCTGGAAAAAGATAAGTTCTAACTCGCATCAAACCTCTTTTCCCAGACTCTCCTAGGAAATAAACAGGTTCTAACTCACATAAAACCTCTATTTCCCAGCCATCACATAACACATGACCCCACCAGTCATACAATATAAGAACTCACATCTTATAAACACATTTAAT